TTTGGAAGCGCTTGTGGTTTACATCATCCCAGATCCGGGCGGTGGAACATGCTCTGCAAGCCAGGAATGACCTGCAGGCTGATCGGAGCGGCGAACCCTTGCTTGCCTGATTCGTTGAGGAGCATCATGATTTCTCCGGGGCGAGAAGAAAAGGACGTTTAGTATGAACCCCTTTCCAGTACAGTGGCTCAGAGTAGATGGCACAAACACGTGTGTCCTTCCGCATGTCTAAATAGCTTCATGAACTTCCATGTGGTTCCCTTTTTCCGCTATAATTATGTAATATTATGTAATATTATATGGAGGGGTATTTAGTTTTGGATGTTTTATCGTTTTATATATTATAGATTTTTGTGTGTTTTCTGTAAAGCAATCATTAATTCCGGTATGTATATGTGTAGTTGCAGTTTTGTCCACTGAGGTGCTCGTGTTTAATATGTTTGGGCCTGTGATAGTGGGTGGAGAATAGGCATGACTAGGCAACCAAAGGCATCAACAGACCAGAGACAAGTGCGGCAACGGGTCGCTGATTGTTAGCCATGAAAGTCCACAACCGCATAAAGTATAGAATTTAGAAAGCTGGTGTTGGGGATGCTCAGGTCTTGGACTACCGGCGCAACAGTCATGCCTTGCCTTTGGCTGCCGCAGCTTGAGGCAGGAAGATAAGTAGCATCTTTTCTTGCTATGGTGTTTGAATTGTTTTGGCATTCAGGCAGATGGTTTCGCGGGGCAAAATATATGCCTCAAAACATTTGACAATTTCTGATGCTACTGCAGTCAGGTAAATGGCTAATTAATCTACCGGGGTCTCAACATCCTGTTTGAGGACTCTCACGGACACGCCCATCCTCCATCCATTTCGGAAGACTCCTGCAAAGTGCGTTTGCTGGTTGACATCACATGACACCACCAGATGCATTAAGTCGCCAAGCGGTTGACCCGCGGAAATGCCATGAAATGGCAAAGGGCTAATGATGGTAATCCATCTCTTGGACTTTTTACTGTTTTCAGCTGTGGTACGGTGGCGGCCCCCGAATGATTTGATCTAGCATCACCGCTGGCTCCAGGAAGGCCACTTCGAAATTGGACCCGCTATTTGTTGTTGATCTTATGATATCTTACATAAAGGCTCCGCAGATATTGGCTCAGTAGAAATGGCGGCCACAAACGACCGCAATGCCCAGACTGTGTACAGAAATCGGGAGGGTAGGCGCATTGACCGCGAAGAATGGGTAGAATTGCAACAAAAGAAAAAGAAGAAGAGAGTAGCAGACTACCCTGAACAGGACCGCATGCTCTGGGCTTGAAGGTGTGAGTGGCATGTTCTTGTTGCCCCCTTAGCAAGTCCCGACGTTGGGTGAACGCGGGCGCTGAAACTCCAGACCTGACAGGAGCTGGAATGGGGCGGCGGACTCAAACAGCGTGACAACCAGGAGGCTGAGAAGGAGGAGTTGTCAAGAATAGCTGCACAGCCATTTGCTCGTTTTGAGCCAGATGAGAAATACATGAAAGAATTGACCCTTGGAGCAGCAAGAGAGTTACTGTACATCATGTTGCATCCACAACAGTACTGATTGATTGTATGATTTATATAATATATACCTTATATATTTTTTCTTTTGGGCGGACTGTGCAGTTGAGGAAAGCAAAGCAAGACTGGAATGATCCCATGCGGAAGTTTGAGGAGGACCAGGCCAGAATTGGACCTGGAAGGTTCGAAGTCTTTGTGTTTCACATCCTTTTTAACCGTTTTTAACGACCAGCAGGAAAAAAATCATCACATTGAGTTTGTTGAGTCGAATGCTTTTCCAACCCAAGAGATGCAAAGTTCCACTGATGTTCTTTGGCTTACCAAATTTTAATTCTTATCGAACAAAGTGTTGGCACTGTTAAGGTTTAGTGGGGTAGGAGCGACCTGGAGCAACAACGCGAACAGTACAGCAGCAACAGCAGCCACCAAGCATTCTGTGAGATCTTTACGCTGAAGTGTCAGACATGTGTTTGATTCACTGGAGTCTTTCTGCCTCACCCGGCCAGGTGACTGCACCTGGTCTTCAAAAAACTCAGGCAGTTCAGCGGCCAAAGTGTCCTCACCCGCCCTGGCAAAACAGATACGCTGCCCGGCACCGAGGATGGTTCAGGGATTTCAAGGGCTTGTTGGAAGTGTGCCGCGTGTCCAGCAGAATCATTTGGGCCATGTCACACAAGAGAACAAAATCATACAAAATCACTTTACCTTGCTACTGCTAACGAGACCTTACGGAAAAAGTGCGTCGCATTCATTCGACCAATGTTTGCTTCCACACTACTTCAGCAGGGTGAAGACCAAAGTGCGCATTGCCAAGTATCAATAATCTTGCACAGTACTTTCTTGGCCTTGGGGGGTTAAGTGAAGAAGAGCAAGAAGCTGTTTTGCCTTAAGCTTCCCTGGAACGCGGGCGGGCAACTGAATTCTGCTTTGGTTCACCATCTCTCGCCCACAGCTCGCCTGATCCGAAAATCCAAGGACATCAAGCCTGGATACCGATGGGACGGGAAAGTTCGGGGAAACGGCCACGAGCAGGAGTACTTCCACACGAAAAACCAAAGGCACGGGCCTTGAAATATTTCAGGTCCAGGTTGAGCTATGTTTCTTTATGTTTCTTTATGTTTTCTGTGGGGAGTACGCGTTGAAAATAAGTGAAGCAAGCTGAGCAACAATACCACAGAGACATCGGCTATCGATTGGCCCGTCAAGTATCCTCAGTGCAGCATGTGCGGAACACTGTTTCTCAGACATGATGTGCTTAGAAAGAACTGAGTTGGATTATGCTTCTTTGCGCGCAGGGAGTTTGAGAGGGCTGACGCATGGAGACGTGAGATGGCACACGATGACAATTGATTGAGTGCCCGACTCTGCATTGAAAGATGAAAAAGAGCACTTTGTCAACAAGGGGGTTTTGCATGTTTGTTGGAATTTGCTTGTTCATGTTGTCCAGTCACCCCCTTTTTGTTCCAAACTGCTAGATTGATTTATGGTTGTTGTGTGATTCTTGCGCACTTGGGCTGCTCGGCTGCATCCAAGTGAACTTCGGCCATAGAAAGCCTCGTGACCCCCTTTTGATCCACGGACAAGCCTCCTCACAGAGCCAGCATGTTAACCGCTGCAACATGTTTGTGCCTTCACTCCCCTGAATGGTGGATACCGTTGATGGATGTGAAGTAGCCAGTTCTCATTCCTTGAGCCGAAGGAACACTTCTCACGCCGCAGCCGATCTTCCTGCCAGATGGCGGGGAGCTTAGCTGCTTGGAGCCTCCAGAACTTGCAGAACAAGCTCCTACGCATGTGCCAAGATCATCTTTTTTCAATAAATCGTGGACCAAGGAAACTAGTGAAACCTGGCTGGCCATGTTTTCCAGTGCTCCTACCGCCCTTGAGGTACCAGGTGAACATGGGCCATCCGGCCTGCTGCAACATTCCGTTTGAAACAGATGAAGCAGGATCAAAATTTGTACTTTGGCATTCTGAGGGGCCTGCAATTCCAAACATGTGGAAGCAACGTACTCAGAATGATACTGTAATGCCAACATTTGGCTTATCTCGAAGCGACACAGGCCCACAATGTGTGTAGACGCTTCGTCTGGCAAACGGATCAATTCATGAAATTAAGCAAGTGTACATAGCTGCAAGAGCCAGGACTGGGATTACCTCACGCCACAATTGCATACAACTGCCACTGCCTTGCCCAGTGTGCACCAATTCTTCATCTACTTTTGCATACCAGGGCAGCTGGAAAGTGATCGACATCAAATTGGACTCTGATTTGAACCCTTCAAGCACGGGGATCCATGTCCACGGCTATATGAGTTGAAAGAATTTATATAACAGAAAGGTTGGTGCCATGGCGGACAAAGCTGCCAGGACATGCCAGGACCAAATCATGCAGCTTGAGCATGATATCCGACAAGCGATCCCATGTTGGGACGAGAGACAGGCTCTTTACCTGTGTAGTGTCGCAGGATACGTCGGACGTGCGAAACTTTGTTTGGTTTGGATCGGCTGATGGGTCAATCCAGCACATGGGATCATCGCTGCTTCCGCCACTTCATGACAAGGTCATGTCAGAAAAGGCGTTGATGCAGGTACTAGTATGCCATAAGATAATGAGTGGTCGAACGTTTTCTTGGCAGAGGAACTGTGCTGATCGGAAGGAAGTTGCTGTACTGTAGTTGTTGCCTGGGCGAGATAATGATTGCCGAACTCCTATGTTCATGTGTTTTGACAGTTTTGCTTCGGTTGTGTTTCTTTTGCTCTTTGCGGGAGCGCGCTGCTGAGCCATGCCAAGCTCGACCTTGTAGCAGAGCTGTTCTGAACTTGGCTGTGAGAGTGACACGTGAAGCAGTGTGAAGAGCTGGGCTACTTTACTTGGACACATCACAGTTTGTCAGGAACTTTCCTTGCCAATGATACATACACCCGAATTATTGCTTCAATTTGGACCCGCCCTTCCGCGGAATGCTTCTGCTGCTTCTTTCAGCCTTCATGGACACTTTCGCAGCAAACCAGAGAAAGGGTCTTATATTACAAACAGGAGTTGAATTGCAAGTGTGGATTCCAATCAATCAGGCCTCGTTCACCGAAGATTCTGGACACTGTTTGTCTCCTCAACTTAGTTTTGCATTGTCCATTTCGAAGCCTCCCAGTCAACCGCTTGCGGCCAGTTCAGGACCTTGAAACAAGTTCTTGTTTGGCTTGACACGCGACAACAACATGCGCGACATCAACATGCTAGGCATCGTTGAATCGACGCAGGAGTTTGGCTCGCAGCCACGATTAGCGTTAGCAATTCGACAAATCTGGAGCTTGCCTTTGTTGCCGTTTGTTGCGTTTCACGGCTTTCACAGATTCTCCATCCATGAAGTACATAGCTGCATCTCCCATAGAATATATAGATACCCAGCCAACTTGCTTGCTATGCCATTTGGCACTCAGAAACCAGAATTTGTCCATTGGAGGCCTTGCCTGAAGGACCGAAGGACCGAAGGACTGGAGAATTAATTACTGTATGAGCCCTTCCTCCCTTCCACGTTGGTGGTCCAATTGAGCTTATCAATCTTCCTGGTCCTCACCGGCCGCTCACCAGCTTTCAGTTTGCACCTTGGTTGGGTGGTTGGGCAGGAAAGAGTCTCGGTTCGGATGTGACGTGGACCGTTTTTCTCGGATATGACGCGGTTGCTCGGTTGTAACGCAGCGTATCTCTCCATCACGACGTTCCCCAAACCCATGTTGCGTCGCCAATGAGTCAGATTTGATGACGCAAATGAGTCCGATCTAGGTACAATTTGGTGTCGCAACTGAGCCCCCCCACCGTCAGGCAGCGGTGTTCAAGTGTGGTTTTGAATGAAGAGGCCCACGGTCTTCAAAATTAGTCATCCTTTGTGGCTGTTGCTCTGGGCGGTCAGGAGGTCATGTTGGACCAGACCTTCCTAAGAACATTCCACCAGCACAGCTCAACGCGAGCTATGTGGAGAAAAAAATAGCTTGGCCAACATTCGGAAGAAGGGATCCATTAAGTTTTGAAGGTTTTTTTACTGAGAAAGTAAGGAGAGTCAAGACCATTACGTAACTAGATGCTGAAGGCATTATATATATATATGCAGGAGATTAGGGGATATTATGTATATATACTGTATATATATATATATATTAGAAGTATTTGGACTGACCAGCTGAAACGGTGATTGTCATTGACTGATGTTTGCGTTTGAAAGCTGTGTTCAAGAATGCTTACCAACAGAATCCAACAACATGCCAATGGCCTTTGCAACAGTCTTCCGTGACAAAAGCCAAGGCTACTCACAATGCAGGGCACAGGTCCAGGTGATCATCATGCCACCTGGACATGTAATTTAGTGACAGGGTAAGAGGGGTGCCGTTGCAGACCATGGAAAGCACTATGGAAATGAACCCGGACAACCTCCAGTACTCAATTTGAATGCCCAACATACTGGGACGAGTTCTTGCAGTATTTGCGCAAGAAATGCATGCATGCACAATAAATATTACTGCGCAATATTTTACAATGTAATATGGTAGTCGAATGCTGTTGTTTTTTCTATTGCTGTGGATGCCGTTGTTGTTTCTCACGCTGGTTCTACTTGCTATTTCAATACAACGTCGCATTCAAAGCTGTATGCCCTATGGTAGTTTTTTTGGTCAGTCTTTCATTGCCTTGGTCGAAGTGTTCGAGTTGCCTTTGTCATTGTCCACTTTTGATAGTGGGTTTGTCAAGTCGCCTTGAGTATGGTAGCATGTTTCCGCCTTTAGTTGGGAATGGGCACCTGCATTTAAAGCACAGATTCCACTTTGCAACTGGCAGCAGTGGAAGCGTTTATCGAAGGCCCACATTATTTGGGCAGTTGCAAGCTCAGTAATGCGCACTGTGGGCAGCAAAGTGGAGGGAAGTGTGACATTCAAAGAACAGCTCCTATGTAAGTAGGAGTAAATACTGCAATTAGACTATGATGCGATGGTTTGGTTGTGCTTTTAAAACACCACAAGATGAGTTTGCTGCTGCTTTAGCACGCCAAGACCCCTTCAGAAGGGTCCTCCAGCCAATCTGTCGCCACCACTTCGGATTGCATGAGCCTTAGCAATCGAAGAGCAAGCTGTTGTGCTGGGTATTGGCAATGCTTGGATTTATGAAGATGCTTTTCTTACGGTGTCATGATCGTTCAGATTGGCTTGGCACATGTATTTAGACCTTGCCGGTGCTTCAAAGGCAAAGGAAGACATCAGGGATATGTTGAATCTACTGGAAATACTTATTTTATATATTCTGGCAGCAAGCATAGGCGCGTAGTTTTGCTCTCGAGTAATGCGTCATACGGCATACGTCTCAAAGATTTGTAGAACGCCTTGATGCCGCGCTTTGGTGGCCCAGACTTCCGGCAGATGCCTTTCATCGCAGCAGGGGCCCTGAGATGCGGGTGCAGTCCTGATGGCCTGGTGCCGTGCAGAAGCATGTTTCACGGCTTTCGAGCCTCTTAGGGTCAAGCATTGCGTGTAACCACTGTTGCCAATTCTCTCAGGGAGTGTGAAGCAAACCGAGCTTGCTTGTCGTGTGACTGGCTTTGTTCTCCTCCTCCTCCTCCTCCTCACCTCCTCCACAAGTACCAGGTACCAGATCGCACTGGGCACCACCGGACCTCAACCGCGAGGGCTAGGTCGCTGTGGGCACCAGGGGGCCTGAACCGCGAGCGCCAGATCGCAACGGGCACCACCGGACCTGAACCAATTTGAAAGAATGCCAGAATATATTTCCAGATATACTTGTCATGTCGGAGTTCAGGTTGAAAAGAAGCGCAATGGCACTTAAGGATGAATAAGCATGGACGGAACACAGAAATGACCATGGGCCTGAATCATGTGTTTCCTCAAGCATGCTGGAAATAAGGAAAGCCAAAAAAAAAGTGTGGAACTATGGATTTTTTTGTGGAAATAAGGAATGAACAAACAAGGCGAGGCATGAGACAAAACCCAGGTTTTCCTGTCGGCCCGTGCGCGTGCCCGTCGTACAGCCGGCCCGTCGTTGCCCGAGCCTGAACTCCATATTTGCATGTTTTATCATGAATGAATCGTGAGTGAGTAAACTATTTTCAATAGATATGGAACCTGATTACTTGACCTGGAACCAGCCTGGAACCATGACTACTTTACTACCATGAGACCACTCTTACCTGACTACTTGACTTGACTACTCTTATACCTAGAACTTGGACCACTTGTTTACACCATTTGATCAACTTGCTTTCACTACCATGAGCCAAGCGTTGTCCAATGTAGCTGCCACCGCTTTGGCATACAGTGCTTTTTCGCGGCAGCTTCTGGAGCGGTGCTTGTCACTGGCACGCTGGAACAAGCTCCATGGCATTTCAGGAGCTTGGCGGTGGGGTGGCTGGACTAGTGTGAAGGACAAGTCAATCTTTCTTCCCACTCCCACCTCTACATGTCCACCGTTGTTTAGAGAAGATTTTCAATTTCTAGCAAGGATGGTGAAGGACGCTCTTTTGAGAGTAAGCCATCAGTCAAGCAGCACGGTGGGTACCAAAGTTTGCAGGTGCTGGTGAATTGAACCATATTGAATCCAATGTTGGCTGGCTAGTTCGACCCCAAATGATAGCGTTGTAAAGAATCAGGGGGACCTGGCACCTGGTCAGCCTTTGTTTGAACATAAGCATGGGCCTCCAGTCTGCCAGTCTCCAGACCCATAAGATACATTTATTTGTTGACTCAGAGCAATCCTCCAATCCTTCTAGACACTCCGAGGTGCGGTCCTTTCATGAAGGGATTGAGGTTGAGGCTGAGGTGGCACCGCAACGAGAAAGTGGGTTTAGGAGGGGCCAAGGCCCCTACACAGTGAGCTCCCTGTTTGAGAGCCTTGAGTTCGAATGTGCAGAACAACAGCCGGTTGTCAGTGGTCTTGGAAACAGCCAAGTGCTTGGGCAATGGAGAGTTCAAGCACTTGCTGTCATCCATGGAGCTACCTGACAACAAGAACTGCCCCAGTTCATCCACCATGACCGGAGGAAGTTCAGACTGGATGCTTTTTTGATGTGGACTCGTCGCCCCCAGTGGAGGAAGCGTGGGTTTGGGAGCCAGATCCTGAACCTTTGTCAGTAGATTGCATTTGAGGTTCCTGGCATAGGGAAGGGAATGTGTTTTTTCTTCCCATGATTCATGAGACAAAACAGATCAGATGCTCAACATAAAAATATGATCGACGGAATGAAGTTTGAAGTGTTTGCATGATAGGCAAGGGCAGGAAAGCAAGGGGAACATGTGCGCTGCTTTGCTTTGCTTACAACCCTTTCACTGGGAGATCACTTGGACAGATTAAACAACCTCAGGATTGACAATGTCCAGCCTGCTAAAATGAAAACGCGATGCGCTTTTTGGTGCGTTGTTTATTTGCTTTGCCAATGGCGCATCTTCTTCCAGTGCTTGTTCTTCCATGCGTTGCAACCCAGGCTTGCGGATCATTTCTTGCGTGAAGGAATTGAAGAGCACGCCGGGAACATCCACACTTTGAGATTTCTCCATGGAAGGCTTGGAATTTGGAGTCCAGAGTCCATGTCCTGACTTTTGCAAGAAATACAATTTCCCAGCCTTCTTGTGTAAGATGCTGGATGTTCTTGAAGTTGTCCAAGTAAGGAATCACAATTGACATGATTCCATTCTTGCTTCCCATCTCCCACCAAAGAAACCTGAAGAAGCTTTCACAAGATCTCATGCCATGTTACATGTTGTATGTTTTGCTTGCGCAGGTTCAATGGCCTTTGGCACACGCAGTGCAGTGAGTGCATGGTCTTTCTGATGCCCAGAATGTTGCCCTGGGTTGTCTTAAGAAGCTGGCTGAAGCTTCAGCCATGGGAGTCTCCAGGTTTTCTAGCACAATGGTGGCCATGAAAAAGGCTGAAGAAGAAGTGGCTGGGACAACGTTGGGTAAGTTTAGAATCCAGAAACGGGAACCGCCGGAGAAATGAATGACTTGTTGGATGATGTTGGAAGCAACGCAACGCCCCATAGCCATAGATCCATAGGGTGAGTCAAGGTGTACCTTGCCCACCTAAGAGATCACACAGCATCGACTGGTGGCAAGGAAAACAGAATCAAGACAACAAAGAAAAAAGGCTTCGAAAGTTGGATGCCAGGCGCCATGGGTGATGGGCCATTAAACATTGGAACGCCTACTCAAAGTGAAGGTCACCGGGACCCTAACCAAGCACACTTCTACAGGTCAAATGGCTCCAGAAGCTGAACATTGCTACGACCCCACGCATCGACTTTTGCTATTTGTGATATCCACTTCAATTATCATCAGGATTGCGGAAGAGGCCACAAAGAAGCAGGAAAAGGAGGCTGCTGCAGCCAAAACGAAAGCCGAGAAGATGCAAAAAAGAAAGCTAATGACGAGTCAGGCAAAGCAGGGACAAGGCTGCTCTACATGTGGCGGTGGTAATTACGAGTGGTAGTGGTGGAGTTGAGATTCATACTGTTTTCAATTGTTATTTTGGGGGTTGAATGCGCATTGTTTCCGATGCCAGGCCCAAAGGGGAGAAATTCCACCAGCAGTGTCAAGGGAAGAACGCGCACACAGGACTTCCAGGCAGGGTTGGGCAGCCTTCTGGTCTAAACTATTAACGTTAATTGACGTTCGGTTTAAACGCATATGTTTAAACAAGTCCATGTTTAAGCCAAAGAATGCATGAGTGCATGTAAGCTTAAACAATGGGCCTGGGTATGTATGTGTACATGGTTCTATATGTAGTCAAATAGAAACCATACTCATCATCGTCAGCATCGAAGCCTGTTTAAACCATGTTTGAACAATGGACACCCGAAAGCAGTCAGTCAGTCAGTGTTTGCGGGGTAGGTAGCTCAGAAACTAAGGCACACACGAAGGTCGCGGAACGAGAGAAACCCGCCATGAGCGCCCCGGCCCACGGATCGACCTAGCAGGGGAAAACCAATCAAAACCATCCACCCAGTACCCGACCAGCGCCCTGCCGAAAAAGGTACACCCAAGGTGTGCCCAGGAGGGAAAAAACAAAAGGGGCAAGTCCCCCCAGAAGGGTCAGTCCCTTCCACGACCGCGGCCCCGGCCGCGGCCTCGTCCCTTTGCTTAGCCACCCCCCTTGGCTCCGTCCGCGAGCGCGTCCCTTTGCGGGCTCCCCACCCTGTGCATCCTGGTTCCGCGCCCAAGCCCTCTTACGTTTTTCGGCCCTGGTTCTGGCTCGCCAACACAGAATCTGCGGAGGGCGATCGCCCCGAGCCCTATTCGCCTCTGTAAGTACTGGGTTGAGGGTATACGTATTTTTCGACTCGGTTGCCAGCCGGACCTAGCCGAAACGTCAGGGTGTACTGTCCAAGTTTCCGAGTGCGCTCTGCCTGTTCAGGGTCGATACGGACCAGGTTGCGTGCTGTCATTTCATCCTTTAGTGCCCACACTTGCCGCTTGCTCTTTCCGTACAGCGTTTCCTCCCTGCCCGGCTGGCCAAGGCATCCCCAGGGCATCACAGATTTGCTTCAGCCAGATCTCCCCCCCGCGCTCAGCCAGCGCCCCAAAACGAAGCACAGCGCCCCAAAGCCAGCCCCCACCAGCCAAACAACAGCGCCCTGGCCAGGAGCGACTGTTGTACCCCACCAACCCAAGACTAAGGGACCATAAGCCAGCCAATTATGCCATCCGAGGAACTTTCGACGGAGTGGTCCTGGACTTGCAGCCAAAGTTGCCCCATGGCCATCCATCGAGGAGGATAGCGTGCTCGGCCGTGCGCCCGAAAGCAGCTGTACACATGTTTGACATGACATGCCACGACCCTGCTTCCAGGATTATTCTGACCCTAATAATCTTGGCAGAGGGTTCGCAGCTACCATCTCGCTACCATGCCCAGGTCTACACACGCCTTCGTGCTTTTTGAATCGCATCTGAGCAAATTTTATTTGGAATGGCTTTGACATGGACTTGTTCCCCACATTGACGTGTGTTTTTTGTTTTTAGTGTGGTATCCGCTCCTCCGCCCTCCTCCTCCTCCTCCTCCTCCCGCCTCCTGCTTGCCACCAACCACTTGCTACCAACAAACTTCCACCAACCAATCGCCACCAACCAATTGCCACCAACAAACTGCCACCAAAAATCTGCCACCAACCAATTGCCACCAAGTGGCTGCCACCAACCATTTGCCACCAACAAACTTCCACCAACCAATTGCCACCAACCAGCTGCCACCAACCAATTGCCACCAACAAACTGCCAGCAACCAATTGCCACCAACCAATTACCACCAACTAGTTGCCACCAACCAACTAACTGCCACCAACAAACATCCACCAACAAACTGCCAGCAACCACTTGCCGCCAACCAATTGCCACCGACCAATTTCCACCAACCAACTGCCACCAACAAACTGCCACCAACACCAACAAACATCCACCAACAAACTGCCACCAACAAACTGCTACCAACAAACATCCACCAACAAACTGCCACCAACAAACTTCCACCAACAAACATGCACGCCGCATCCCTTCCGCCATGATTTGCTTGGCAGGCGCAAGACTTGGTGCTCTCCAAGGGGTCGGATGTATGCCCTGGGGTCGCTTGGTCGCCGCAGCTTTGCCGGTGTGGCAGGCGCTGTACTTGGTGCTCTCCAAGGGGTCAGATGTACGTCCTGGGGGCGCTTGGTCGCCGCAGCCCTGCAGGTGTGATTTGCGTGGCAGGGGCGGTACTCTGGGGTCGCTTGGTCGCCGCAGCTGTGGGTGTGATTTGCGTGGCTGGCGCGGTGCTTGGTGCTCCAAGGGGTCGGATGTACGCCCTGGGGTCGCTTCAGCTTTGCCGGTGTGGCAGGCGCGGTACTTGGTGCTCTCCAAGGGGTCGGATGTACGTCCTGGGGTCGCTTGGTTGCCGCAGCCCTGCACGTGTGATTTGCGTGGCAGGCGCAGTACTTGGTGCTCTCCAAGGGGTCGGCTATTGCTATTAGGTTTGAGGCCATCGCTACTAGGGTAGAGGCCATCGCTAGCAAGTTGGAGGCCATTGCTATTTGGAGAACATGTCTCCAGGAGATTGGTGCTCGTGATTCCAAGGATGTCCGGGATCAATGGAGGGAGTTGGGAGCGCGGGGGCAGTGCTTTTTTTTCTGTTTCATTTTTTGCGTTTACGCGCAGGTGTCTATGTATATCTTAAATATAAATGAGAAACGCCACACCACACCAACCCACCAACAAAACCACATGAGGCAAGCCCACTGGAACGATGATAATCATAACTACAGAGCCCCCATCATTGGCTACTGGCAGAGGAAGAGGAGAGGAGAGGAAAGGAGAGAAAAGGAAGACAGAAGAGATGTCGACATCCTTTCCATTGAAAGGTTATTCCCTTGTCCTTCTTGTCTCTTATGTGTTTGTTTCCTTCTCTTGTCGTTCTTTCATCTTTCTACTACTTCTTGATCTGTTTGTTTATCTTTCCACCTGGATCCACGGGACCGCCGGTTGTTTGATTCGTTGAGTTTTGCGCCTGGCAAACGTAACTTCGCAAAAGTCTTTGATCTTTCTTATCCCATGTCCTTCTTGTTT